GAAAATTATTAGAGAATGTTATCAATGCTAAAATAATGGAATGATGTCACCATCAAATAGATTAATAATGATAACAAAGCATTTATATATACTAGATTGATAATATGAAATCTTATACAAACTGTAAGTGAGGATTATGGAGATGATGTTGAAAAGCCTTTTTATAAAAGATAAAACAATTCTATGAAGAATAGAATATAGAGATGTAATATCATTGGATGATTTCAGGATGATGTAACAAATGTCATAATATAAATTTACTTTAAGTTTAATATGCTTTATGTTGAAAGATTGCAATAAGCTTGCTAGGCTTAATGGATGTTTAATAATTATATCAATTTGTATATAAGTATATTAGATTGATGATACTAATAATGGGGGGGAAACATGGAATGGAAAATTATTAGAGAATGTTATCAATGCTAAAATAATAGAATGATGTCACAATAAATTTAGTTAAATATAGTTAAATTTTGAATGCAATGCACAACGTAATAATAGCTATAGTCAAATAAAAGATTAATAATGATAACAAAGCATTTATATATACTAGATTGATAATATGAAATCTTATACAAACTGTAAGTGAGGATTATGGAGATGATGTTGAAAAGCCTTTTTATAAAAGATAAAACAATTCTATGAAGAATAGAATATAGAGATGTAATATCATTGGATGATTTCAGGATGACATAATGAAATGCCATAATATAAATTCTTCAAATTTAATATGCCTTATGTTGACAGGATGTAATTATAGCTAGGCTTAATGGATGTTTAATAATTATAACCATTTGTGTGTGTGTGTGTGTGTGTGTGTGTGTGTGTGTATGTATGTATGTATGTTTTACATATATATATATGTTTTCTGAGGTTTTCAGTCCTAGTAAGAAAAATATGGTTGGCTTACCTGAACGGTCGTTCTCTGGGCACTGCGAAGAGACTCCAAGCATGGGTCTATCTGCCCTAGGACTGAGTGAGTTTTTCCTCCTTTTGCCTCCATTATTCAGTTTAAAAAATGAAGAGACCACCGAGCAGGAAGCCTGTTCAACAGTCACATCCAGTCATCATCCTCAAAGTTGCAAGGACCCCGGGCGGGATTGGACTCTCCTCGCAGTGCCCAGAGAACGACCGTTCAGGTAAGCCAACGGTCTTTCTCCAGTGCGCTGCTTGGTGGGACATGCCCAAGCTATAGTGTCCCTGGGTGGGAAGAGACCTGAGTCTCCGGAGCCTCTGCGACTTTCTGTATAATTCTCCTTCCAAAAGAGGCTTCGGCTGAGGCAAAGATGTCAGTTTTATAGTTCATGATAAATGCAGTTGGAGAAGCCCACGCTCATATAAAAGATTACAAAAGCATCTTCTTATTCCTCATTCTCTATACTAAACAAACTAACCTTTAAAGCAGCTTCATAAACATCATTGGTAAGAGATTCCATTAGAAATGAACCACCCCATGGATCAGCAACTTTAGGTATGCCAGATTCTTCTTGTATTATTATCTGTGTATTCCTTGCAATTCGAGCACTTTTCACAGTTGGCAGTCCTAAAGCTTCATCAAATGAATTTGTATGCAAGGACTGGGTACCACCAAACACAGCTGCCATTGCTTCAACTGTGGTGCGGATGATGTTATTGTAAGGATCCTATTACAAAAATAATAACTTTATTTTTTAAAAATGAAACAGATGCAGAGTAATACATGTTGTCTTTTGAGCACAGCAATATTCTGAGTAATATTATTGAATTAGACTTCGACATGTTATGTCCTGGAAACTTTTAACAAAGTCGGATTAAAAATATACTATGGTAATATAAATATTACTTCTGCAGGTTGAACCTATCATAACCAGATGAAAGTGAGTTACTTACATTGGGTTGGGATGCTCCCAATGATGAAATGGAGGGTGGAGAATCAGAAGATCAAATACATTATAAGGGAAACTATTTTTATGAAACATCTTAAACTAGCTTTCCCTAATATGAAGTCTTTCAAATGTGTCAAGAACACTCCTAGGAATTCCTACCTAAACTGCTACTTGGCTGGCCTAGAACATATCTACTAAACGTCAAGCTGATGCTTCAAACTTGTCACTGGTTGTGTAATGGCTCCTCTCCTAACTTGAGAAAGTAAAGACTCTTGAATATTTCAAAAGGAATCTTTAATCAAGCAGGATGGAAACCATTAGAAGCAAAGTAGCATCTGAAAACCTTTAGGCCAGGCAATTTGGGATAAAGCTGATAATGACCCTTTCCCTTTGTCCGAATGCAGATTCTGACCAATACACAAGTGTGAAGATGCTTCCTTAACTCTTCTGCCCTGGGAGTAATTAAAGCACATGTTCCCATAGCTATCTCTAGTTAGACATCAAAATTATATATCCCACATGGCTACCATAAACATCCCTCGAGAGATGTTGGGACCTTCAGTCTCCCGGTGACAGGAAACCAGTTGTAAAGTTGTAAAACTCAGTTGTTTTAGATGTGGCTAATGATTTAACTCCAAGGCTCCCCTCCTCCCAATTGAATGGCAGTATCACTTTTAGGGATCTGATACCTAGGAAGCCTTTAAGTAGGAAGCACCATCTCTTCTTTCCTAAGAGTTCCCTGTTTTACTTAGCCTTGTGAGTAGATTTGTTCTTCTGGTCTACTCCAAGTCCAATGAATAGTAGGTATTTGTATTAGTTCTATGGGAGGTAAAAAGTTACTCACTAGCTCTTTCTTGCTTTCTCTCTGACTGAATAAATTGAAGCCACTCTTTTACTTTTTGTTTTCTACTGTATGTTGTACATTTTCCTGGCCAGAAACTTCAGGAGATATGAAAAGTCTATCTGTAAAGAATGACTCATAAAAACTGTTGTTATGAACAGGGCTAAGGGAAAAAGAGGAAGGATGAGGCCAGACTATTTGGTAGCAGTGCCTTTTCGGGACTGAGAAGGCAAGACACACCACATAAGCAGAGGGAAAAAGGAGAACCATAGCTCTTAAATAGATCATTTCTCCCCTTTCTTTTC